CTGCCTCCCGCCAGCCCTGCCAGTGCCCCTCACTCCTGACCCAGAGCCCCCTGCCGGTGCTCCCACCAGACAGCGGCTGCGGAGCTGGGCCGAGGGGGCATGGCGGGAGCGCCAAGGAACAGAACAGCGCCAGGCACGGGCATGGCGGGTGCAGCAGGATGTGGCTCGGTGTCTGGCCACCCATGACCCCCCAGGGAGCCTGGCCCAGGCCCTGCAGAGGAAGAAGGCAGAGCTCAGGTAAAACCTATGCACAAACATTTGCATATATGCATAATAATCAGTCAGGTCGTCTACATATTCAAACCTGTGCATGTGCATCATTAGCTGGGTGGCTGTACAAGGGTGGGTTGTGGGGGCTGCTACTAGAGGGCAGTGGTACCCCTGGGGGGGCAGGAGGGGCGGGTGCTGCCTCCAGGGGTATAAGAGTGGGGAGAGGCCTAGCAGAGAGGCGGAGATATGGCCATTGGCTGGCACAGCTGTGCTTCCCCCTGGACATGCTACACAGTAGCACGTGCCACCCCCCTCCTTGTCACCCGCAGGCCTGACCACGCCTGGCAAGAGTGAGACACTTCCCAGAACTCCCAGCCCCTATAGATGCCCCTCAGCCCTTATAGATTCCCCATAGATCCCAGACCTTTGGACCCCCTAGCTCCTAGCTCCAGCTGTTATAGACCCCCAGCTCTTATAGATCCCCTATAGAACCCCCAGCCTCTTTAGTTCCCCTGTGGACCCTCCCCAGTCCTTATAGCTCCCGTATAGACATGAGGCCCTGTAGATACCCCTCAGCCCTCATAGATCCTCTATAGATCTCAACTCCTATAGAATTCTATAGATTTAGTCCTCATATTCCCCTGAGCTCACGTAGATCCCTTGTAAGTTGGGCTTTAAACTGAGTACAACAGGGGATGGGGAGGCAGGAGACGGAGAGAGTCTAGAACCTACAAACTGCAAGCCATGCAGCAGTGCACCCCAGGTAAGTACCAAGGGGCCCTTTGGGCATCAGAACAGGGGGGCATCAAAGGCACCATTCGGAGGGCTCAAGTGCCTCTATACTAATGCTAGGAGCATGGGGAACAAGCAGGAAGAACTCACACTTCTGCTTCCAGATAATAACTTTGATTTAGTGGGGCTAATGGAAACCTGGTGGGACCGTACCCGTGACTGGGTGCTACACACTGAGGGCTACTGGTTGTACAGAAGAGAAACAGTAGAGAGGAAAGGGGGTGGGGTTGCTCTCTATGTAAAGGAGCATTATACATCCACCCTGATCAAAATGGGATCAGAGGAGGAGAAAGTTGAGGCATTGTGGGTTAGGATACATGGAGGTTGAGGGGAAAGGGGCTTGGTGGTAGGGGTCTGCTACAGACCACCACACCAAGAGGAAAAGCTCGACTTGGAATTCTTAAGGCAACTCTCAGAGGCCGTACGGTCTAGGGACGTGGTTGTCATGGGGGGCCTAAACTACCCGGACATCTGCTGGGAGGAGCAGTCGGCCAAATCTAACCGTTCACATAGGTTCTTAACCTGAGTGCAGGACCTCCACCTAATGCAGGAAGATATGGTCCCACTAGGGCCAATGCCTTACTGGATTTGGTGTTGGCTATGGGGGAGGACCTGGTAGAGGAGCTGCAGATTCGTGGTCACCTTAGGGACAATGACCACCAATAAATTGAATTCACCATACGGCGTAGGGTGGGTAAGATAACTAGTAGGGTGGGAATGCATGGCTTTAGGAAGGCTAACTTCAGTGTGCTCAGGAGTGTAGTTGATGCACTGCAGGATAGGAGTATTGGTGAGATGGGAGTCCAGGAAGGGTGGTCGTTCCTAAAAGAAGTGATCCTTCAGGCACAGAGGGAGATGATCCCAGTACGAGGGAAAAGGGGGAAAGGAGCCAAAAAACTTCCTTGGCTAAGGGCAAAAAAGAAGGCATATAGGCAATGGAAGCAGGTGGAGCTACCAAGGAGGAGTATACCTACTTGGCTGACACTTTCAGGGAGGCAGTTAGAAAGGCCAGAGCAACGACAGAGCTGAGGCTGGCAACACAAATTAAAGACAACAAAAAGCCTTTTTAAAGTTATGTAGGGAGTAAAAGGAAGGCACAGGGCAGCATAGGACCCCTATTGAACAATGAGGAGCAATCAGTGACGGACGGGGGGGACAAGGCTGAGTTATTCAATGAGTTTTTTGCCTTGGTGTTCCTGAACAGGGCTTGAGATAAGTCTCCCAATGGGTTCTTAGACAGGCATCTGAGGGACACCAGCCCACCAACTGTCAACGCTGACTTGATGCAGAGTCACTTGGATGGACTGGATGTGTTCAAGTCAGCAGGCCCAGATGAGCTGCATCCAAGGGTACTGAAGGATTTGGCCCATGTCATAGCAGAATTGCTGGCATGGCTGTTTGAGCGCTTGTGGCTCTCAGGTCAGGTCCTGGAGGACTGGAAAAGGGCCAGTGTGGTCCCTATTTTCAAGAAGGGGAGGAAGGAGGTTCTGAATAATTACAGGCCAGTCACTCTCACCTCCATCCTTGGAAAGGTCTTTGAAAAGATCATGAAGGATCATATTTGTGGGAGTCCAGCAGGAAAAATAATGCAACAGGGAAGCCAACATGGATTCGTAGCAGGTAGATCATGCCTGACCAATATGGTTTTATTTTATGACAGGGTAAAAAATGCTTAGCTGCAGGAGTAGAGGTGGATGTCGTTTCATCGTATTCTCAGAAATAAATTAAAAGGCTGTGACATAGATGTTTACACGGTTCGGTGGGTGGCAAATTGGCCTAGCAGTCACACCCAGAGAGTGGTAGTAGATGGGTAGGTATTGACCTGGATGGATGTGGGTAGTAGGGTCCTGCAGGGTTCAGTCCTTGGACCTGTACTCTTGAATATCTTCATCAGTGACTTGGATGTGGGTGTGAAGTGTACTCTGTCCAAGTCTGCGGATGATACTGAATTGTGGGGTGAAGTGCACACTCCAGAGGGTAGGGAACGATTGCAGGCAGACCAGGACAGGTTAGAGAAGTGGGCAGCACACAATAGGATGCAGTACAGCAAGGACAAGTGCAGAGTGCTGCACCTAGGGCATAAAAATATCCAGCACATTGACTGGCTGGGAAGTGACCCTCTCAGCAGCACAGAAGCAGAAAGGGATCTTGGAGTCATAGTGGACTCCGAGATGAACATGAGTCGTCAGTGTGATGAAATCATCAGCAAAGCTAACTGCACTTTATCATGCATCAGCAGATGCAGACAAATAGATCCAAGGAGGAGATACTTCCCCTTGGTCAGATAGTTGGAGTACTACATCCAGTTTTGGGTGCCGTACTTTAAGAAGGATGTTGATAGACTCAAGAGGGTCCACAGGAGGCCACTTGTATGGTCTGGGGCTTACAGGACAAGCCCTATGAGGAGAGACTGAGGGACCTGGATCTCTTCAGCCTCCGCAAGAGAAGGCCGAGAGGTGATCTTGTGGCCGCCTACAAATTCATTAGTGGGACGCAGTGGGGGATCGGAGATGCTCTGTTCACCAGGGCACCTCTTGGGGTAACAAGGAACAATGATCACAAACTGACAAAGAGCAGATTTAGGCTGGATATCAGGAAAAACTTCTTCACGGTAAGGGTGGCCAGAATTTGGAATGGGCTTCCAAGGAAGGTGGTGCCCTCCCCTACCTGGGGGGTCTTTAAAAGAAGGCTGGACAGGCACCTGCCTGGGGTCATCTGGCCCCAGCACTCTTTCATGCCCAGGGCAGGGGGTCAGACTTGATGATCTGTTGAGGTCCCTTCTGACCCTAGCATCTATGACCCAATAAAACCCTAAAGATCCAACCCCTACACAGTCCCTAGCCCTTATATGTGCCCTATAGCACCTCCCCACCTCTTACAGCTCCCTGCCCTGTAGACCCCCAGCTCTTACCCTATAGACATCCAATCCCTACAGAATCTCTAGCCATTACAGATGCCCTATAGAACCTCCTCAGCCCTTACAGATTCCCCCTCCTATAGAACCCCCAGCCCTTATAAAGCCCAGACTCTATAGAAGCCAAGCCCTTAAAGATTCCCTGTAGGTCCCAGGGCCTATAGACACCCCTCAATCCTTATCAATTCCCTACAGATCACAGCTGTTCTAGGAAAACTACATGGCTTCTGCCAATAGAGAACACTCAGCTTTAATAGATCCTCTGACATTCCCCAGCCCCTATAGATTTCCCCAAGAAATCCCAAGCCCTATAGACCCCCGCAGGAGCCCGGGCCCAGGGCAGGAGGGTCTGCAGGGGTCCCCTGACAGCTGGGAGGGGTGGTGGCACCTGTAACCTGCCCCCCTATGTGACTTGCCCCCCCAGGTCTCAGGAGCGGGCACGCATGGCGCTGTACAAGGCCCAGCTGCAGGAGATAGAGGCTCGCGTGAGCAGCCGGCCCTACCTCTTTGAGAGGGTCATGCAGGTGCGGATCCTGCCCCGGACACCTGGGTTCTCTTGTGCTCTGCGGGGGTGTGGGACTTGGGGGTTACAGCTGGGGCGGCTGGGAGCTGACAACCCCTGCCTTGCAGGCCAGTGCCCGCCAGGCCATGGAGCACCACTTCTCCCACGTGCTGGAGGCACTGGGCATCGAGGAGGCCGGGCTGTGGAGGCAGGTGGGGCACCAGGGCCCCCCCTCAGCAGGTGTGAACAGGAGCTCCCTGCCCGGACGCCTGGGTTCCCCCCCGCTGTAGGAGGGGAGCAGGGTCTGGTGAATTTAGAGGGGACCCCGGACACCTGGGTTCTCTCCCTTGCCATGGCAGGCAGTATTTCAGGGGCTGTGTCCTCCTGACAGGTCTCCGTGGACGAGGCCCGAGACCCACCTCTGGATCCACCTGAGAAGGCCCCGGCATAGCCTCTGCCCTGAATTAAACAGGCTTTGGGAGCCGGGACAGCTGGGTTCTCTCCCTGCTTGGGGAGGAGTCAGGGCTGGCAGGGGCTGGAAGCCGGGACAGCTGGGTTCTCGAGCTAGTGGATGGAAGCAGAGTCTGGGGGCTGGAAGCAGGAGCGGGTTCTCTTGCACCCGGGGAAGGGCCATCAGATTTGGGGGTTGCTGAGAGCCCATGTGCCTGGGTTTTCTTCCAGCACTGGGCAACCAGCTGGGATGGAGACTGAGCCACTGCCCGCGCTGCCCTCATGCAGCACCAGGGGTGCTGTGTTGCAGGGGTGCAAAATCCACCCCCACAATCCATCAATGGTACATGTCATTAAGGATGCACCAGACTGTGTGGATTGTACCATCCCTTCTTGGTGGGGAGACTCAATCTTCCCCCTTCTGGATCATACCATCTCTTCTTTCCAGTGGGGGAAAGCACATTTTCTCACCCTTCTACTTACAATGGTATGTTCCTCTGTACCTACAGAGCAGTAGGTGGGTCATGCCATTTTTTCTCTGGGGGGGGGTCTAAGATGCCACCCCTTCTACTACCAATAACATTTCCCAATATGCATCCAGAGCAGCATGTGGATCATATAATCCTATCCATTCCCGAGGAGAAACTTTCCCTCCTTTTACTCCTAATAGTATCCCCCCAGACGAAGTGTAGGCCATACCATTCCTTTTGTAAAGGGGAGGGGTAAGCCCCCCCTTTCTAGTGCCGATGGTATTTCCCTGTACGCATTCAGAGCAGCAAATGGGTTATACCATCCTTTCCCCGGGGGTGGGAGGGAAGGAAATCTTTCCTCTTTCCTTCTACCCCGATAGGATTCTCCCCCTCCCAGCATACGTGGGTCATAGCACTGTTTCCCGAGCAGGGCGGGATAACAATTCTCTCCCCTTATTCTCCCACTGATATGTTCTTACACGCCTCGAGAGCAGTGTATGAGCCATACCATCCTCCGCCTTTTAATGGGGGTGTTAACCCTCTCCTTCCTAATTAAGGTAATGCTATTTAAGGCCTAAGATGAGTGGCCTCCCTCCAACTCCCAGGGCCACTCCACTACAAGAATGGTACAGTCCGACAGCGACTGGGCACAAGATAATACGCAGCTGGAGCCAAAGCGGAAGTAGCTTTCAGCGCTTCCCCCTCTTCCCAGAAGCAGGGAAGGCTGACTCCCTCACCGGAAGTAGCGACAGTAACCACGGAAGTCATGTGACTGAGCCTTCCCCACCTCCACCTGAGGTAGTGGCGATGAATGCGGAAGCCGTTTCCTGACCTCGCCGGATGTAGAAACCGTGACCCGGAAGGAGTGTTTCGTGAGACTGGAAGGGGCGTTTCAGTCCCGAAGTGGCGGGGGGGTTTTGACCCCGGAAGGGCTTGCAGCCGCCATTCCGTGTCGCTATGGGCTCCTCCAAGAAGCACCGGGAGCGTGGGGAGGCGGCAGCGCCGGGAGCTGGGTCTGGGACGGCCGGGGGCGGGGTGGGGCCCGCGGAGGATCCCCCCCCAGCCTCGGCCCCCGCCTCGGCTTCGGCCTCCTCCTCCTCCTCCTCGTCGCGGCACCGGGAGCACAAGAAGCACAAGCACCGCGGGGGCGGGTCGGGCTCCGGGTCGGGCTCCAGCGAGCGCCGGGGCAAGCGGAGCCGTAGCCGCGGGGAGCGGAGCCGGCGGCGCAGCGGCGGGGACG